GCCCTCCGGCTCCTGACTGGCCAGAGTTTGGCCTTTGAGACTCAGATTGCGCCCTCTCTCTCCCTCTCTCTCTCTCTCTCTCACACACACACACAAATAGCGAAGTCCTGGGGAAAGACAAGGCAGGGAGCAAAGGGGGGAGGGGGAGGCCAAGCCGACAAGCAGCCCGAGCTACAGCTCGAAGATGGGGTGGTTCCCTTGCCAGGTTAAAACAGCCACCACCACCACAAACTCAAGCAGGGTGTGGGGTGTGTGTGTGTGTGTGTGTGTGTGTGGTGTGCATGCGTGTTTGTGTGTCTGTAGGGGGCCAAGGGGGCCAAACTCGGTGGGGGTGGGGGGCGAGGTGGTGGTGAGCATGGCTCTGGAACTAGCAAGCCCACACCCGAGTCGGACCCCCGCGGAGCACTTATCAGGGTGGCTAGCTGGGATCGCGTGTCAGACTCACATGAAAAACTCGGGAGAGGACGGGTTGTCGCTGCTCGAGCCGTTTTCTCGGAAGCCGCTGCTCACCAACTTCTCGTATTTCTCCTTGTACGCGTCCCTCTCGCGCACCAGCCTGGAGATCTCCTGCTTGAGATGGTCGACTTGCTGCAGCAGCTGGTTCTTCTCCGACTCCAGGACGTGTCTCTGCTGCACCCTCTTGAAGCGGCAGGACTGGGCATAGCCGCGGTTTTTCAGGGTCCGCCTCTTCTGCTTCAGCCGGATCACCTCCTCCTTGCTGACCCCGCGCAGCTGCCGGTTCAGCTCGCGCACCGACATGGTCACCAGCTGCTCGTCGGAGAAGCGGTCGTCGAAGTGCAGGCCGCCGGCGGCGTGGTGGTGGTGGTGGTGGTAGTGCGGGCCCGCGCCGCTCTGCGCGGCGGCTGCGGCGATCACGGCGGACACCACGGCGGCGGCGGGGCCCATCTCCTCGCCGCTGCCGCCCAGGGAGGCTCCGGCGCCGGCCCCGGCCGCCGCGGCCAGCTGCTGCGCCCCGCGCGCGTAGCCATCGAAGCCGCCCTGGAGCTGGTGGCTGTTGCTGATGAGCGCCTCGACCGCGTCCTCGGGGCTGAAGCCCAGCGCCTCGGGGTTCAGCTGCTGCGGGTAGCCGGTCATCCAGTAGTAGTCTTCCAGGTGCGCCTTCTGCTCGCTGCCCGAGCCCGGGCTGGGCGCCGAGAAGCTGGGGGAAGGGGGCACCGAGCTGCACGGCGTGCTCATGGGGGTGGAGGACAGCGAGCCCCCGGCGATGAGACGGCCGCACTGGCTGATGATGCGGTCGGTCTCCACCGGTTCCTTTTTCACTTCAAACTTCATCAGATCGAAGTCATTAACATATTCCATGGCCAGGGGACTGGTGGGCAGGTCGGAGTTGCTCATTGCCAGTTCTGATGCCATTCTCCTGCCGCCGCCGCCGCCGCCGCTCCGCCAGATGGGCTGCAGGAGAGGGGCCAGCGGGCTGTGCTGGGTGGCCAGCGGGTGAGCCAGCTTGCCGGGCTGGGGCGCTTCTAGCTCGCGCGGCGGTGGCTGGCCCGAAACCTCCGAGCGCGCTCACACACACCCCCCCGCCCTGCCCGCGCCCCCCGCGCCCGCCCTCCCTCCCCCCTGCTCACGCCAATGTGCTCCCTCGCTCGCCCCGGCCCCTCCTTGCTCGCTCGCCTCCTTGCGCGCAGAGCCGGCGGCTTCAGGCTCGGGAAGGTCCTCCGCGGGCTGCGGTGGCGGCGGCGGTGGCGGCGGCGGCGGCGGCGGCGAAGCTGGAGGAGCCCGGCCCGGTGCGCGGCGTCCCCCGCTCGCCGCTCCGCTGCGCGCTTTGCATAAGGAAGGGCTCGCCTCGCCGGCCCGGGCTGCAGGCAGGGCGCGCGCGGCGGCCGCTCGGGGCTGGAGGCGCGTCGGGCGTCTGTCCGGGCGGCGCGGGCCTTGGCACCCGGGAGTTAACACTTCATGCTTCTCGCCTCCTCTTCTGCTTGGCTCTCTTTATTATTTTTTTTCTTTCCTCTCTCTCTCTTTCTCGCTCTCTCTCCCTCGCGCGCTCTCTCCCTCTGTGCAAAGTGCAAGGCAGAGGTGCAGCCCGACTGGAGGAGAGGGAGGGGGGAGTTTAGTTCTTTCTTGCTTTTTTTAAAAAAAAAGCAAAATAGCGAAGTCCTGGGGAAAGACAAGGCAGGGAGCAAAGGGGGGAGGGGGAGGCCAAGCCGACAAGCAGCCCGAGCTACAGCTCGAAGATGAAAAAAGATTTTAAAGCCTCTGATCCAGCAAGAAGAGTTTAAAGCAATTGCTGAGTTTTATAGCACTCGTGACGTCAGGTCCAAATGAGAAATTGACTGGCACTCCGGGCCAATGGGAGGCGGCGAGAGCGGCCGCGATTAGCATAATAGTATAGAAACAAGGAAACTTTTCGGAGCTGTCAATCAGGGCCCAATCAGCTGACTGTCAGCTGGGACGGGCTGGCTTAACCCTTCCTGCGCCGCTGCCTACCCGGGAGGGAACGAGGCCCGGCGCAAAGTTTGGTGTAAGAGGGGAGGGAGTTTTTCCAGAGGGGCTTCGGCAACCCGGGCGGACTTGGAAGGACGGTTTGCTTTTCTTTGGAGCGCGAGACAGGCCTTCCATCGGAGCCCCAGCTCGCCAGGGGCTCGCTTGGCTGGGATTGGCCTGATTCCCCTCCCTTGCCTGCCCTCCACTCCTAGAATTATGAATTCGCCTCCCAGCTTTTCCTCCTCGCACCACCTCTGGCACCCAGGTGTCTGCCGGGGGACCTTCCTTCCCTGAGCCTGGCCGTGCCCGGCGCTCAAACTTGACCGCAACTCTTTGTCCCTCTCTCGGGCGGCCGGGGAGGGGAAGGGACCGGGAAGCGAGGGATGAGCTGGGGTGTCCGGATCGGGGCTGCCGGCTGGACGCTGCCCCGCCGTGCGCCTGCCCGGAATGCTGTGAGTCCGTGGAGAGAGAAAGCCCATTTTATCACTCTCTTTAAAAGGAGGTAAAATAAGTTGGTTAGAGGCCATTCTTCACGGGGACTGGCTGCCCGCTGGCGTCGCGTGCCCTTGGACGGACCGAGCGCCTATGCGAGATAACTCCAGGGAAGCTCAAAGTCAGGTCAGCCGGGCTCAGCCCTCCGGCTCCTGACTGGCCAGAGTTTGGCCTTTGAGACTCAGATTGCGCCCTCTCTCTCCCTCTCTCTCTCTCTCTCTCTCACACACACACACACTCTCTCTCACACTCACCCATCCCCTTACGAAATCTGACCTCTGTTTATCAGGGTCAGGCGCGCCCTTTGCACTTTTACGTTTCCTTTAATTATTTCGGACTTGATCGTGGCGGGGAGCAAGGGGGAAAAACAATACCCCAGCCCTCACCAGCTCCCCTCGAAGGGTTAAATTTTAAACCGCGGTTTCTGGAACTAGCCCGGAAACCCAGAGTTGGGGGGGGGTGGGCTGGGGGAGGCTACTCCCCCCACCCCAGTTGCAAATGCTAATAAGTAGTTCAATTTTCTAGATCGATTCTGTTAAAGTGTATGCAAAAAAGAAAGAAATAAGAAAGAAAAAGAAAAGAGAAAGAAGAAAACCAACAACTAACTCTGTTTCTAAGATTTTAAAGCGATAGGCAAGTCGAAGAAGCAGAGATTTATTTGGAGAGAAATCTCCTGAAACGGACCCGGCCTTTGGAAGACCAGTCCGCCTGCTTAGAAGTTGGGACTGTTGATTCCTTCAATTAATGAAATGCATTTGGTGTTGTTAATCGTATTTATTTTACTTTATGGGCGGGGGGGTGGGGGGAGACTCTAGGAGGGTGCATTAAAAAAAAAAAAATTCTGAAAAGCCTGCAAAAAGATCGAAGAGTGGAAACTATTGTTGGAGCGAGTTGGTTTTTACCTCAACAGCGCCACCTTTCGGCAAAGGTCAGTTGAAATTGATCCGTGTCCAGTTTTGTCGATGAAGTGAAAAGCAGCTGGTTACCCAATGTGGAAGGAGGAAAGAGGCACAGAAAGTTAGTTTGACTGAAGTGAGAGAACCCGACTCTATAGGAAAGGGGCCGAAGAAAGTGCTGGCAGATGCAGGGATCATTTTTGCCCCTCCTCTTCTTGATTGTTGACAAAGAGGCCAAGGGATACAGACACCCTCCGGGTGTAATTTCTGGCTGAGACCTTTGCAAGCGGATCCCCATGTAACAGGGCCCCAAATCCTTTAAAAGTGCCAGGAGGGATTTTCAACGGGCTTTATGGCAATATCAATAGAATTAAAGTTACTTGTAATTCACTGATAAATGAGATGCCTCTAGTAAGATTAAGTGCAGTGCTATAAAGTTGTTTATCTGAAAAGTAATTCTCAGAAAACCTGACTTCTGACACTTAGTCATATATTAAGCCAGCATCTTGAACATTGCACTTCAGAATGGTCTTCCCCACCCCGTAGCATACTTTGCTATTTATAACCTCAGGTGTCTCTCACTCGCTCCTTGCACCAGATTAGACCTGTGTTAATTTCTCTGATCCTGGTAGCCTTCAGTTTCAGCAAACCCAGGAATCCTTAATGGGAGACTTCCCAAAAGATTTGTAGGCACATCCTAATCTGAAAAGGGCAGCGCTGTCGGTATTTTTCAGACAAGTAATGTTTCTTTTCATCGAGACTGCAGAGAAGTTGTTTATAAGGGTAGTTTTGGTTTTATAGGAGCATTTTGTTGGGTGGAATAAACTATGTCTATTACCAGTTTGGGGAAGAAAGAGTGAAGATTATGTCAATATTTATGCAACCTAGCAGAATTCCCTTGTTTTCCTTCTCTTTAACAATATTTTACCTAGTAATGAAGTTAAGGGATTATAGTTTATGTATTTAGAGGAAAATTCACACTTTCCATTACATAAGCATTATGTCATTTAACATTGCCCATAACAATAGTTTTCTAGGTCTTTTTAGAAGTCAGTAGTCACAAATGTCTGAAGTTTATATTTTTCATGTAAAATAGGAATTTAAGTATATTTAGAAGGAATTTATTTTTTGTTTATGATATATTTTTAATCACTTTGCATCATATTTGTGTTAAAAGCTGTAATGTATGATCACTGCCTCTGAAAGCAGTATTATAATAAATAATATTATTTTATACACAAAATTTGCTAATGGTGAAGACTATGCTGTACACATTCGTGGCAGAGTATCTAATTGTTACATTGTTATATATCATTTCTACAAATTAAATGCCCATGTTTGGGCAGCTAAATATATTATTATCTGCACATTTTTATGGTTTATTTATGTACACTGCTGTCAAGACATGGTATTTTTATTTCTCTTATTGCAAGGTCTTTTATAGTCTCCCATTTTCTCCTGGAAAAAAAAAAAGAGAGGATCAGAATTATTTTTTTAGATGTGTAGCAGTAGTGCTCTCAGGCTTACAACTTAATTCTCATTTTTATCCTTTTTACGTTATTATTTAGTGATTCACAGGGGTGTCTAAACATTTACAGTTCTCTGTTAGCAGCATTTCTTTTATAACAATTGAGCTCTCTCATTTTAATTAGTACTATTCAGGTTTTTGATTCTGTACAATTACAGTGGGCCACATTTCCTTAGACTTCTTGGCTAACATTGTTTGTTTCACTTCTATCCAAGCCAATCTAATCCAAATACAATGTGAACTGTGTTTTCTTACTGCTTAACATCCCCTTGCTATATATACTCTAGTAATCTCTGTAGAACAATATACAGTAATTTAGAAACCATGCATTTGTCATTATTGACCAATGCAGACCAGTAGTAGTAAAGTTTCTGAAAGCAGTGAATATTTATAGAAGATTTTCGAGGGGCGGGGAGGGCATGGGTTGCATTGTATAGAATATTGTGACACAGTAACATCAGAAACACAATGATAGTTTCACGTCAGTACATACATAACGACTTCATGCAAAAGTGAAAAACAAAACCCCTGTACATGTCCAAATTACAAAGATTAAAAGCTTAAAGGAATATATTTTTCCTGATTGTGAGTTACAGCAACTCAAATACATCATGCTGAATCAGACATCCATAACCTGAATAGAACGGGATGCATCAGGTATAGTGTCTGAAGTCTTTGTTTAGGAGCTGATTTTATGGGGCAGAACTAGCCAGTGTCCACTAAATTTCACTATGAAACCAACTAAATTGATTTGAGAAAGAGTTCTTCAGGGTAACTGAATGATAAGGCGTACCCTGTTCTTAGGTCTAGTGTTAGATAAATCCTTTTAACAGTCTTCAGTCAGCAGGGTAAGTAAATCACAAATCACTGTTAGCAGATTCATGGAAGAAAATTAATAGAATCAGACGAGATAATCTGATAAGGGTAAAATTGCTGAGGAAACAGTCTTGCCTCATATTGGAGGATGTGAAACAACACTCTGATTACTTGGAGTCGTTACGAATAGGTGAATAATGTGCTAAATAATCATCAGAGTAATTCAGCATGTATTAATTCTTTTCTCTTTAAGCAATTCACAGTTGTAAGTTAAAGCCGCTCTCTCTTTCAAGACACATCTTTTATAATTTTTATTAGAGGTAATTTATTATTTGCATTACCTGTATTTACTTCATAATTGAACATTTTGCATTCAAATTTATGTAATGCATTATGCTTGAGAATATATTTCTGCCTGATTAGCATAAATAGTCACTTACCTCATGAATTACTAACAAAGTTTATCTTAAAATATAGGTTTTTTTATTAAGTGGAACACAAACGTATGTACAATAAATTCTGATTTTCCAGGGCAGTTAGAGAACAGCTCACATTTGGTTACAGGGAGGCAAGGGAGGAAGCAAAATAAAGATAAATGAGATGTGTAGGTTTCTTTCCAAGGGTATCATTTAGATGGGGGCGTATGTGTAGGGTGGGGTAGGGGGCAAAGTGAAGGAGAAGGCCTAGGCTTTCCGTACACTGTTTGGATTGGACGATCTTGACATGAAATGCGTACTCTGGAAAACCTGTAATTAGTGATCTCTGCCTTTGTAGAGAACCATGATAACAAGTAAATTAGCATTGGAAGAATTTGGGTTTTTTTAAAATCATATTTTTGTTTCATTTATTTGCTTATTTGTTTTTGTCTCTGCAGGGTTCTTCCTTGGAAAACAATATACATCACTTAATGAAATCTGTTTGTTTTGCACAAGAGATATAAAAAATCCAGACGTTTTCTTCAGTGAGAATTCCTGGGAAGGTGTACCAACCTTCTTCGCTTTCTTCACCTGACAAAGACCCAACACGGCCGCGCAGACTGGAGGTGTTTAATACATAGTATTGTGCACACCTGAACGTGGGAATGAAAGGGCTTCTTTGCTTTTAAACAATAGAGCTATAAAATTATGATGGGGCCTGTTTTCCCCCACTCTTGTCATTGATTTCCCGGGTTTCTTTTTCTGTTTGTTTGTTTCCACTTTCCTTTTTCAGGGGATAGGCATCTCCTTAGATTTTTGTTTTCCTTCAATTAGGGTCAGCTTTATGATTCGTTCTTCCACTGTCATCCTTTTTCATCCGCTTCACAGCCTGTACCGGTGAGGGAATTTGTCTCAAAAGCATTCAGCCCTTCAAAGATTTTTATTGTGGTGAACTCAGAACTGATTAACAGAAAAGCAGAAACAGAAAAGGGGACCTGATATGAGGGCGATCATGATGCGGGTTGCGTCTCTCATGCATGATAACTCAGAGGACAGGCTCCTCGGTAGTGCGGTAGTGCTAGTTCTGTGAAGTTTTTCACCCTCCTTCCTAGCCCTGAGGGTGGGGTGATTCATAGCTCCTGTTCCAAAGGCATTCAGCAGCCATTCGACCTGGGAAAGAAACAGAGTTTTAGAAAATACAGACCAAATGTAGACACGCCTGGGATTACCAGGATGAATATGTCAATGCAGGTGGCTTCTGAATTTCTGTTTCTGAGTTTGTTTGGCTGACGCCTGAGTAAAGGGGTCCCTTACAGCCCTGTTTTATACCTTAGTTCTTGGTGGCAACGTGGGTGTTGCTGATATCTCTGATGTGTTTTTCTGTGCGTTGAAAACCCCAGACATGCTCTGTGACATCCTCGCAGCATCCCCCATCACAATGGAGTATTCCTAATCTGAGAAAGAATAGCATATTGGGCAAACCTCCCCATCCACTCAAAATAAAATTATAGTAAAATTTACAGACCTTCTGTTAATAGTTTTTATTTAGTACCTTTGTAACAGTGATACATGCTCCTTGTTAAATATAAACGTTTGAACAGGACAGAAATAAGAGGCTATCAAATAAAAGAACTGCTATTCCTCATCTCCACCCCAGTCTTTAAAACTTGGTCTCAGTGGTTACTATCTGTAATAGTTGGGGTATATGTGTGTAGTTTTTACACAATGGCATCGAAGCATGTACATAGTTCTTTAACTTGTGCTCCCTTTAAAACACATTCATGTTAACAATCTCGAAAAGAGATTTTGGGCACTCCTGTCTTCTTTGGCAGAATTCACCTTGTGGAACCTCAGGCTGGAGGAAGTTTGGGGATCTGATCTGAACACCGTCCTGCCAACCAGTATAGGAGCTTGAACCTGGTTTAGGTGAGCTGGCTGCATTCAGGGACAACTTCTCCATGCGGCCCAACAGACACCTTTCTTGGAGCCCACAAGACTCTTGAGGGTCCACAAAAACATTTTTAAAAAAACTTTAAAAATAGAAGTACAAGAGGAATGTAGTATAGCATGGATTATATCTGTCTTTATACCAACATAGTTGTAAAATATAATTTAAAATATTTTTTAATAGAACAAAGGGTCCACAGAAGCCACGGTGCCCAGAGCCCACAAAACTCCACAACATGACTCTAACTCTATGTACCTGATCACCTCCAGTGACAGGGGCTGATCTCAATTTTACCTCCCATTATGTCCATCTGTATTCCCACAGTTCTTGAGATTGTGAAGAAAGCTCTTGTTTAACATGAAGTCATACTCCCTTCTTCTAGACCTTAGCCCTGACTTTACAGACTCATGAAGCCATGTATAATAAGTGCTTCTGTGCCACAGAGTCTTTGGGAATTGGAGAGAGCCAATATGACACCCTTTCCCTGATTTTTGTTTTTCATTCAAAATACAGCCAGCGTCTTTAACTTTTCCACGTTTCGGTTTTAAGTGCCAACTCCTTCTGGTTACTAACTCCCAGGTGGGCGCACCTGGTTCCTGCTGCCCTCTGAGGGTTCAAGTCTCAGAACTGAACGCAGACACCCAGGTGTGAGCCTCCTATCATAGGGAGAGCACCTATGCTCCACCTCCTTAAGCTGCAGTTTGTCTGCTCCTAATACAGCCCACAATGTCACCAGCCTCTCTGGCAGACACCTAACACTGGTGACTCATCATTCATGGACAGTGGACTCAAGCCCAGGCATTTTCTTCTCACATTTCCCCCATCCTGGATTTGTGTGCTTGTTTTTGAACCCAAGCACAGAAATTCATAGCAATCCTCCATAAGCTCCATGTCCTTAGATTCAGTCCGTTCTGGGCTTGTCTGAATCGGTTTGGATCTAGAATGTGCCATCAGGTAGTTTTAATTTGTTTTCCAGCTCAGTGCCAGTGGCAAGTGAAATTGATGTGCTTTTTATATGACCTAGCCTCACAGAGCCAGGTCTGTCATCTGTAAATTGGGTATTGTCGGGATTAAAGATTGTGCCTCTGGAGTGTCTCCTATGGTGTGGGCCACAGAGGAGCTCATAAATAGTTGGAGGTTTTCTGAATTTCCTGCTCTTCCCCTGAGTTGCTGATAACAACATTGGAAGGGACAAAGACCTGTGGCATCTCAGTGGAGACTGTCCCTCCGAACTCCCAATGATTACACAAAGTGACCCATGAAATCATTCAAGTCCCCTAATGGACATTTTAAATGGACTCTGCCTAATTGGTAATTGGAATTATTTTAAACTAAATGACCCCATCTGGAAGTCCTACATATATCTTTCTAATGAATTCTAAAATAACTTCACGGTTTTTTTTTTTTTTTTTTTTTTTGAGACAGAGTCTTGCTCTGTTGCCCAGGCTGGAGTGCAGTGGTACAATCTTGGCTCACTGCAACCTCCACCTGCTGGGTTCAAGCGATTCTCTTGCCTCAGCCTCCCGAGTAGCTGGGACTACAGGCACCCACCACCATGACTGAATTTTTTTTTTTTTTAATATATTTTTAGTAGAGATGAGGTTTCACCATATTGGCCAGGCTGGAATAACTTCCCTTTTTTATGGTGTAGGCAAATCTTTCTGTTGGAGAAGACAGATGACTAGATAATTGTGTCACATTTCACACGTGCCTTTGTCTTTGTAAACTTTTGCCCTGTCGAAATACATAGTAGTTGTCCAAAGTTGGGATCTCAGAGACTAATAAAAAATAGATGTAACCTAGAAAAGCTAAGTGGAAGAGCTCTGCGTGTGTATACATAAAAACATATTTGAGATCAGCTCTTTCCTCCTTGTTTTATCTCTGGTTTAGATCACCAACTTCCCTGCCATTTCCTGATGCCAATTTTGAAGCCGGGGAGCTCAGAGGCATTTTCTTCAACAGAAGAGTTCAGAGTTTCAGTGTCTACCTTTGAGCTACAACTGGTCCCTCAGTGATGTAAATATGCAGGCTGTTGCAGACTCTCCTGTTCCAGGATCCCACCTCGACCCCTTTCAGAGAAATCTGGGAATGAGAGAAGGAACCAGCCCAGAAGTGATTTATGACCTGCTGTCTGTGTCCTGCCTGAGGAAGCATGGCTCTGGCTGTTTCAAGCAGACCCAGCCTGGGATCCTCAGAGACTGGAAGGAGTGATGGACACCCGTCAGGGAAACATCACTGACCGTTGACTCTCAGCTCAGCTTGAAGCTGCTGATGAGGGGCTAGGCTTGGTCGCTGTCACAGTGATGTGAGCTCACGCAGTTGGGGCTGGGGAAGAAGGACCGACCAGGAGACACAGCATCTGAGGTCAGCACCCAGGTCTTCCTCTGACTCACCCTCTGACCTCCTCAAAGCCCTTCACTCTCTTCCTTCAACTCATTTTTTAGGCTGCAAGTGGACTGAACTGCATGAAGCAGTTAAAACAAACCTGCTTGCATGGGAGGAGTGTTCCTAGCCATTTGAGGCTGAATACAGGGTAGGTATAAATAGGGACCAGACTCCCATAGACAGACGGAAGCTGGCATGTCAGGCTGCCATGGAGCATTGATGGGTCATGGTGGCAACTTTGGAACATCTTCAAGGTCAAAACAACAGATACAGCAAGGCAGGGTCAGAATGGCACAGCCAACCCCTCCTGCATCTCCAGGCCAGAGGATGCTGTTGTTTTAGGTTGACATTGTTGAGAGCCTTTGGTGGCAGCACAGTGAGGAGGATCACTGGGCAGGGAGACATACTCTGGAGGTGCCTGGTGCCAAAATGAGGATGTGAATCCTGCTCTGCCCCAAATGTTAGACCTTAGGCAAATTAGCTGACCTCTCTGAACCCGTCTTTTTCTTAGTGAGAGGTAGACAGGGATTTTGTGATAATGATGAGCACGTATACCAAGCGTTTGGCATGGTGCCTGCCCCGAGTGAATGCTCAAAAGAGCAGGCTCTGTTAACATGTGCCAGGGACTCTGCCCACACTCTATACACGTCATTTCACAGTACGGGGCCAGGGCATACTAGGAACTTGAGAAATAGAATAGTTTCCCCTCTTCTGTCTGCTCTGCTCCTGCCTTAAAGTTGTATTTACCTCGTAACCTGGCCTCTTTCTCTCCTCTCCTAAGTCTTTGCACGATTTTGCTCCCCTTGTAAGGAGGGATTTTGCTCCCTCTTCCCACTTCCCCTGCCCTCTGTTTTATTTTCTGGCTAGTTTTGACTCTTCTTCTAGGTCTTGGGTTTCCTTTTAAAAGTCTTAATTGTGTTCTTTTTGCCCACTGGCCCCCAAGCCAGGCCAGGTGCCCACTCTCTCTGCTAGTTTGTGTCTGAGTCCTCACAGTGCCCTGGGAGTTACTATCCACCTGTGAACTGCTTAAAGACAGGGACACCGCCTCTCTTCTCTCCATCTCCTTCGCCTACTACAGAGCTCGGCATACAGTAAGCGCTCCATAAATGTTTCTTCAGTGGAAATGACCACACTGTCTGATTCCTTGCTTCTTTTTTTGAGGCTCGAACCTACACAGAATGTCCTGCCAAATGTCCCAGAAAACATGACTTTGAAAGGGGCAGGGTGGCTGGCTGCTGTGTTGCAACACGGCACTTCTTACCTTCGCCTCTCACTAGTCTGACTGGCCCGTCCTTCAATTACCAGGACGCTTATCTTGCTCACTCATTAGCTTATATCCCTTAGCTGGAACTGAGTAGACAACATGGTTGAGATATACGAGCTCTGGAACTGAAGTGATCTGCAGTCCAATCTTGCTGGGATGGGTTTTTGGAGGAAGGGAGGCTTAAGATTAAGTGGTTGAGTGTAAGTGGGGCATCCTATTCCAGCCCTGCCTGCCGCTGCTGGAGAGAGCTCTGGTGTAGCTTTGAGTCACAGTTGCTTTTCCCAGGACGTCAAGGTACACAGACACTATTTTGTAAGCTTCAGATAAGAATGCAAGGCCCACCTTCATTTCCACATGCACAAATCATGCCCATTCTTCAAGGCACAGCTCATATGTGATGTGACGTTGCACCTGAAGCTCTGAACAGAGTGTCTGGCATCCATTAGTAAAAGTTTGATGCTAATACTAAGCCCCCCCGCTCCAGAAGCCCTCTTGGGCTCCTACCTTGCATTCCTGTATCCTCACGGTTGTAGTTTGACCTCTCTTTGGGAACCTCACAATGTATCCATTAGGTAGGGTATCACCTTGCTGATTGTGTGATCTTAGAAGAGTTCTTGATGTACTTTTTGAGTCTCATTATCTTCATCTGTATAATGGAATGTCAATTTAGCCTCTTTGGGTTGCAAATGATCTTTGGGTTGCAAATGAACAACTCTTGACCTGAATTTGTTTAAGCAAAAAGGATTCTCATTGGTTCGCATGGCCCAGAGGTCTAGGGACAGAGCTAGTTGGGGTCAGGGGTCATGTAGTGTCACTGGAACTGGCTTCCTTCCATCTGTGTGGACTCCAGACCAGGGCTCTGCATAAGAGTGTGATAATTGTAGTAGTTCCAGCCTTTAATCCTCCTATGCTGAGTTCATGGGAGCCAGTTGGAGGCCCCAGTAGAGCACTGAAAGTCACGGTTTGGGTTGCATGGGTCTAGTTCATTTAACTGCTTATATGCCCACCCCTGAGCCAACCCCTGTGGCAAAGAGATGAAATATCTAATTGGCTCAGACGTGGGTTCAGAAATGGTATGGGACAGGGGCCTGGAGAATTCTCTGAGTCTGTCTGAGTGTGATGGAAAAGCCATCACCCAGGGCAACACTGAGGAACCCACCATTAAATGGCAACTCAGACATGATACTCACCTGGGCCTTGCCCTTAGTTTTAACTTATCAGATTGTCACAGCAACCGTATCAGATATGTGCTGCTGTTATTTACATTTGACAGAGGATGATGCTAAGGTACCCCCTTAGCTTCCCTTTAGGCATGCCTTAGAGGGCTTTTCCAAGGCCACATGGCAGGTGTGGTACAAGATGTAAATCCAGGCATGGCTGCAAAGTTTGCATGCACAACTACTTTCCTTTATTATGTATTGTAGGAGGGAGCCAGTCAAGAAACGAAAGGTAACAAAATAGATAGCTAACATATATTACGATGTAATGTAATATGATAAAGTATAGTATCATATAATATAGTATATTACTATAAAATATAGTAACATATATTGTATTATATCATATGGTATCCTGCCAAACACTGGTAAATGGTCCATCTTTGTATCTGTCAGTAAAACATCTGTTGTGAGTGTGTCTTAGGGAGGTGTTGAGTGCATGTTGACCAGCTGACCAAGTGACTCATTTTATCTGCATAGTGTGAATCCTTAGATCCAAGAAGCTTGCTTCTGTCATGGCGAAATCATTATTATAACAATCTTGTTTGTTTTGGTTTCACAAGAATAGCAAATTGTTAAAGAATGAAGTTCAAGGAAAAATCAGGTAAACTAATTTCTAGAAGTTTAGTTCTCCGGTTTCCAGTGGCGGTGGGTGTTTAAAGATGTTAGGCTGAACCTGTGTCCTTAGGACTATCTTACTGGACAGACATTATTGGAAAGGACTGTTTCCAAAACCTTTCCACTGGTGAAAAAGATCTGAGCAAGTCTGTTTTACAGACAGGTGGAATAGGAATGAGATGGCAAATGCAGATGATACAGAGCTTTTGAACTTATTACCAGCCCCCCACACCCCCACCCCTTAACCTTTTTAGAAAATGCCCTTAATTCTTTGGGAATTTCTATCACTATCCCTAAATTGGTATTCGCTACACACATAAGCGGCGGTGTGTTTGGAGATTGTTTGTGAGTGTTAAAGCACAGAGGGCAAGCTGAAAAGTAAAGATTTTGTGCTGCATTTGATGATCAAACATATGCCCTCTTTGGCCTTCTCAGGGCGCTGGCATTAAGGCTAGTAAATAATCCTCGTGTCTCTCGAGCCTCCCATCTTGTAGCCCGGTATTACGTGAGGCACTTAATAAAAGCAAAAAAGCAATTATAAAACACCCCTGAAATTACATTCATATCTGTAATCAGAATTGCTAATATCTCCCCTCCCTCCACCATCCTGGTGTCATCTGATTTTCATTCCCTTGAGGTGACTAAGAGTCTAGTCATTAATGTAACACCCACCAACTTTATTGGAAGTTACCGTCAGAAAGGTCTGTTTCCAAAAGCTCTCTGAGCTGAATGCAATTACAGTGCTGGTTCTTCTTGGCCATTGCACAAGTCTGCGCGTACTCTTTGTACTAGAGTCTCTTTCTAAACTTGGGCACCAATGTGAGTTTGCTGTCCATTTTCTATGTCACGGGGAGGAAAGGTTTGGTTTAAAGTTATTTGAAAGAGAAATGAGACTTCTAGAAGCTATCCCTCTATTGCCTACATTTTTACCTTTCCAGTAACATTGGGATGATTTGGGTAGTCATGTAATAGTGATGATGATGGTGGCAATGATAATAATAAGACTACCAGCTTACAGGAAATGCAGGCGATAGAGAAATGATGCAGACCCTGTTATGAAGCTATAATTCAAATGGATAATGTGCGAACTTCTCTAAGACAAATGTTCTGGTTTCTTCAACAAACAAATGACCTGTAAAAGGGAGGGGGCAGAAGGGAGTTCTGTTATAGATGAAAACAGGCCTTCTTTTAGGTCTAAAAGGAGTGGTCTGAACCCAAGGAGGTAGCAGCAGAATGGTGGGAGAGCTGGCTTGCTGAGGCAGGGCTGGGGACACTGTCCACACTGCACTTTTCACCTGCCTCAAGGGTCATACTATCAACCCAGCCATGGTGCCTGCGGGTCTGGGCTGCCTGCAGCCTGCTCCGTCCTTTCCTCCTCCCCACCTTTTCAGCCTAGCTGACTCACATTGGTAGCTGAGACTTCTCTCCTTCCTTGAGAGGCCCTTCTTTGACTACTGCTTTCTCATCTAAGTGGGACAATGTATCTCCACTCTGCTCTCAGGGCCCACTGGCATGGCGTTGGTGATTGTACATTGTAATTATATATGTATTTTAATTTTTAGAATTTTGGAGTAATTGTAGATTCACGTGCAGTTGTAAGGAAAAATACAGATGGATCCTGTGTACCCTTCACCCATTCTCTCCCAGCATTGACATTTTGCAAAATGAGTACAATAGCACAACCAGGAAATTGATGATGTTATGATGTACCCACCTTACACAGATTTTACCAGTTTTATGTGCACTTATGTGTATATGATTTCATGCTGTGCAGTCTTATCATGTGTAGATTCCTGTGATCACAAGCAGCATTTTCACAGTCAAGATTCATGGCATTTCCATCACAAAGCTTCCTTGTGCCACCCTTTTGTCACTGTCTTCTTACTTAACCTATTTCTTTCATGATTCTGTGACCGTTTTGAAGCAGAAGCCTTATGTTTAATCTCTGTGTCTTGGTTCCAGCAAACTCAAACCAGCACCTGGTTCATAGGGGTCCTATAAATACCTGTGAAATAAATTCAAATTCTACCAGAGAAAAAGAGTAGGCAA